GCAGTGAGTGATTATGCGAGGAAGAAAAGACGACATCAGACACACCCCCAACAAAGAACATGGATGTTTTATGCACATGAGGGCCACTTATAGAGCAGGACTTTAGCTTCTTCTTCCTTCAGTCCTCGTTCATGTGTGACTCCTCGGTGCAGAACACGTATGTGCAGAGACACGTGTGAGGAGCATTAAATATGTAGAGGCTTCTTAACATAATGTCACAGGCTATTTATACAGCAGCACCGTTTAGCTCCAGGAACCTCACACAGAGAACAGCAGCAGCAGCAGTACTAGTAGCAGTAGCATCAATAGCAGAAGTAGAACCTTATGAAAGAAACACTTGATCAGAAGTACTGACTACTCTGTAAACCTTTAAAAATACCTTTAAAAATACATAATTCTCACTGATTTTGAATAACCTTTAAAGCTCCATTCATAATAAGACAGAAGTGAGAAATTCAGCCAGTTTTTGATCTGAATGTAACACGGCACGATCTAATTAAGGCTTGCAAAACTTGACTGGAGGCAATACTTCGGTCCATGACACTGTGAATATTTTCATAAAGTTTGAAAGCAGAGAATTTATACAGAAGGGTTGTGTTTGTGATATTTACAGCATGGAACGAGCTGAAAACAACTGGACGTCTGTTTCTGACGAGGAACAAGAGAACTTCACTATTTTAACTTCACTTTTCTCGGAATCAAACGACCCTTCCTCAAATAAAACACAGATAATAATAACTGGTGAAAATCTCTGAATCTTCGCTTCATATTTTCTCATTTGTGGCTGTGACCTTTTCCTTCTAACTCTATGCAAATGCCACAGTTGCCACAATAATCCAACTTAATGAGTCCCCGTTCAACAGATCTATATTCTTACATTCTTTGCTCAATATACTGTCTGGAGTTTGTATTAAACACATATTTATAAAACAATGAGATGAAAAGACAGTAGAGGGTTTCAAGCCTGGTTTAAACCTATAGTTTCCACACAACCAAAGATATACATCAGTTGTAGTCAAGCAGGTTCTGGGTTTTCCTCCCCTCCCTCTGCTCTAATCTATCGTCCACCGTTTGTTCAAAGATGTTCTCATTCTTGAAAATCCAGTTTGGATGAAGCAGTGATTCACAAACACATTTCTCAATCTCTTTCTGTTTGAAGCTTGAGGTGAAATTGCAGACTTTTGCCCTATAATCACACTTGCCTTTGTTTAACCATATGGCCTGTACGTTTTATACCCCATACATATATATATATATATACATATATACAGTACATTAGTATTTCCCAACCAGGGGTACGCGGCCCCCAGGGATCCTCCGGCTCTGTCTGTGGTTTGGTCCATTAGAGAAGTGGTCTGAGGTTTTGAATCATTCTAAACCACAGAATGATGTTTTAATGAGGCAGCAGCAGCAGCAGCAGCAGCAGCAGCAGCAGCAGCAGGTGCAGGACTTCTCTTGACTCTGAAAACGAGGTGTTATTCAGCTTTCCCAGTCAGGAACATGAAATCTGATTTTGGAGGATTAAATCTTCCAACTGAACTTGTTCTTTTGTCACATCATATTCACATGCACATCATCAGAATAGAGCCAACATTGCAGTTGGAGAATTTTTTAAGTCGTGCTTAAAAAAGTCGTGCAGTGTGCTTAGGAATTTTTTAAATTAAGTCCTAAGCACACTGCAAAAAGATAACACATAGATTAAATACGTACAAAAGTCATTGAGTGAAAGGTAAAATACCCAATCCCTTCATTGTGCCACTGTTTAACATTATTTACTTAATTAAACCCAAGGTATTTTCTTTGGTTGGGGTTTTCTCAGGCCTCATTTCTGTGGCTGTGGTCGTCTTTTGGGTCTTTGTGGAGTTCTGAACGCAACGCTGTGCCGTTAGAAAGAGACTTCTGTGTTTTTGTTGGCTCGTTACTCTGTGTAAGACATCTGCAACAAAACCTGTGGGTAATGTTTGTTTCTACTTCTGCAGTCCGCTGGAGATGTTTTTACCATCTCACCACAGTTACATTAGCCCCATATATGGAATTTTGGAACACAGTCAAAAACAAATTGTTATCATATATATTTTAAGTTAGGCTCTGAGCTTCCTAATGAGGTATAGCATGTGTTTATTGGTGGAGCTGAAGTTGTTTTTTGTGTCACAATGTTATGTTAACAATTGGCCTTAGTTTGGACATGCCTGGTTTAGCAGGACTCTATACTTGGAAAATAAATGAATACATCTTGAATTTATCTTAATAAATAAGCAAAGTATGTAAAGCATGAACCTAGGTCTCTCCATGGCCTCGCATCAAAGTACATCAGTGACATGTTTGTGCTTATGAACCTGAACCAACTCAGACTCTGAGGAGCACAGGGACTGGCCTCCTGCTGGTGCCCAGAGTCAAGACTAAACACAGAGAGGCAGCGTTTCAGATTTATGCAGCTCATACCTCGAAAAGTCTTGAGACAGGCTTCTTCTCTGACAAATCCAGGTTAAAAACAGTTCTGTTTAGCTGAGCATTAACTGAAGGATTGCATCTCCACTCCAATGTTCTGTGATTATCTATGATTTTAATGCCTTGTTTGATTGATCTTGTTTTGTTTTTTAGCATACACAAAATGCTGTATGTGTATAAACTATATAAATATAGCTCGCCACCTCCTTCCATGTGGCTCGCCAACGGATTTAGAAATGAACAAATAAAATAATATACTGAATATTTCGGAATGTCCATCCATCCATCTATTTTCTTCCCCTTAATCCATTTCTGGGTCGGGGGGTGGCAGTCAGAGCTGCACCCAATTCACATTGATCCTCCTGCAGGTGGTGAGTCCACAGGGGCTCGGCTGCTCTGTTAGCCTTGTTCTTATAGTGCATGTATTATTCATTATTATTATTTATTACACTTTGTGCACAGGTAATGAATATGTGATGATAAATAATGACTGTTGATACAATGACTACGCGCTATCAGGCTCTCTCTCACCAATATATCACATGATTTTTCCCAGGACCACTCAAAGGAGTAGCTCTCTGGGTGAAAAAGGTTGGAGACGCCTGGTCTAGTGGAAATAAATATATAGTTGTATGTACAAATATAATAATAATGGGTCACAAGTGTCATAGATTAGAAATAAAACATGGCACGGTCTTTATTGAAACATATGTTCAATAAAGGAATCAATCCACTGAAATTAGATTACACAATAAGAAGCTAAAACATGTCAAATGAAAACTCGCTGAATACAAGGTTGTAATAGCCTCTGCTCTCTCCTCTTTCAGACTGAGACAATAATTTGAGCCCCATCATGATGTGGATCCAGACACAGACGGAGCTGCAGACAAAGGGACAAAAGAGGGATAAAATTAAACAGATTTAAACCGCGTTCAAATCTTCATAAAGAACTGCCACTAATACTGCTAATACTACTGCTGCTTATATACTGCACACGATAATCTGATGAACTGGTTTGAGAATAATGAGAGAGGATGTGATTGCTGTAGGAAGACGTTAGGGCAGGACAGCGTCAGGAAGAATGCATAAGAATAACAGACTGTATTGTATTTGACTAATCTGCAGCTTTGTAAAAGGATATAAAAATAGTTTTAAAGCCGGACGAGCTGCGACAGTGTGAGCAGGGGTGATACAGGGGAAGGACAGAGATTTACATGTCATTGCGATAATCATGTTTCAATAAAAATGGTAATGAGACTTGTTACTTTGTCATGTCATAAGGGCTTAGAAGGTTCTTTTAATGAGACAAAGAGTGTAAAGAAGCTGGTACCGTTTTATTACCACATGTTCGCAGTCAGTCTAAAAGATCAAGACAGATCCGTCGGACTGACCACGCCCCGCTGCGCTGTGGTCTCTGGACAAGTGTCCCAAGTGTGAACTAAGGGTAAAGCCCCTCGTCTCTGTTGATGGTCTGTGTGACCCGCTTCCTGTTTTCAATCGCATCGTTGTGTCTTTAGGCAAGACACTTCAGCCACTATGTGAAACTGGTTTATACATGAATGATTGGTGAGGGTCAGAAAGCCTCACTGCTTCCAGTCTGCTTGTCGCTTATCACCGCCGTGGGGGATTCCTGTTAAACTGTGAAGTGCTTTAGGCGCAAAGAAAGAGCAGCTTTGGGCGATATCGAAAAAAACCTTTGAAGTTTCTTATGGTCACATACCGTTTTATTAACATTTATGGACATTGTGGTCGAGACTCCGCTTTCTCTAGAGTCCAGACCAAAGGCTCCTGTGTTTGTTATTGTTACATGTCCTGTGTTTGATTGTCTGATCTGTTGTTGGCAAACAACTTTGTTAATTTTAGGGGGTTTAGGGCTATACACACATGCATTGAATGGAATTGAATACACATGATAGGCAGTGAAATTCTTCTGTTCCTTCCAGCAGATATCATTCAGATATGTAACAGTCAATAAGAGTAGAGACACAGCCCACCTTGATCTTATGGTTTCAGAATAACAGGTCCCTCTCATCCTCTCAGTCAAAAAATCTGAACACTTTTGGCAATTCAGCACAATCTTGAGCAACTGGCTTCGATAAAACTACAGAAAGAGTCTTATAAAAGCAACATTTTTGTGAAGAAGTCAGACCAAAAATGCTGTCATCATGTTCAAAAACATCTGATCTCTTATATACTTAGAGCTGATTGGCTGAGTGAGATTTGTTTTCACTTTTGTGTCTGATGAAGCAATTACAACTTTATCTTTATAAAAGTCAGTTTTTCATCATGATTTTCATTGATGAATTGATTTTGAGTTATTGCTCAGCTGAAAGGAGCTACGTAAACCTCACACATACTTATAACAGTATACATTGGGTTAAGGCTTTCTTACTTTATAAGCAAGAATGTTTTAATTTACAAATGTATAATGTATAAATGATAGAGAACAGGGAACAGGGAACAGCCACAGTTCTATCAGTAGTATATATTGTATGTCTTAGTAGTATTTTAATAGTACTTTTATAGTGGCAGTAGCAGCTACAGTAGCAGTAATGATATCACAGAGCCCTGTAGTGTTTAAAGGGGGAGGGGAGCAGACAGAGACATCAGAGGAAAAACGGTCAGTTTTAAAGTCGAGAGAAAAAAAACCTGTGACGATGCCAGTTTCCGTGGAGATGGGGATACCGGTTGCCGTGGAGATGAGGATGAGGGGTTGCCGTGGTAACGGAGGGAGTGTGCGCGTGGGCGTCGGCTTATATTTTATGAATGGAGTTAAACTTGGAGCAGACGTGGGCGTGTTTGTCCCTTTAGATTACACTGTTCTGAGTTAGTGGAGTTCAGTCTGGACCTGAAACATGATCTTCAGTCTGTTAGAGTTTTGGGAAATAACCTTCTAATATTATGGATGAAGAACACATCTAAAGAAACACCGTCCCGTGGTAGAAGTGGGAAATTACATTCTATTGATAATAAATATCGTAAATGGTGCAATTGTGTGATTGATGTAATTGAAAGCACACAGTTGTAACTAGGAGTGTGACGATATATCGATATAACGATATATCGTGATACTTTATCCCGCGATCAATTATCGATATGCATTTGCCAAGTATCTTTTTTTTTTTTTTATTAGTATCAATACATAATATGACTACATTATATGCATCTCCATTCCATTTATCATGAAATAAAGTGTATTTTTTCATTTAACATTTTTCTTTTATTTATGCCATAAATTGGCATATGGTATATTTCTGACCAATATATCGATAATCGTCATACTGTGAGATAATCGTTATTGTGATATAATCGTTATGTGAGCTTTTTATCGCATATTGTATCGTATCGTGAGGTACCCTGAGGTTCCCACCCCTAGTTGTAACATAACTGGAGAAATTAATAAAAATGTGTTGAAGGCAATACTTTTTTTTTAACCCTTTAATGGTTTCCTCAACCCTAGTAGATCCCCTTTTCGAGTAACTATATCTACTTTAAGCTTGGAACTGAAATATACCTCTTTGGGGCATCTCACTTGGTTTTAGGCACTTTTACCATTAAACTGCATCTCAACCATTTGGTAAAGGCCTATAATATAATACAATTGTGGTTAAAAAAAAAAAAAAAAATAACTAAAAACAAATTATTTGTGTTATTTGTGCTTCTACATTTCTCCTTGGATCATTTTTTTGCTTTAGTTCTCTCTTCTGCTCCTCACTTTTCAGTCTTTTGGGCTGTTTTGGTGTGTACGCAGTTACAGCCAGAGGAGGTATAGCCACTTTCTGCCTCCATGCTGCTGTGTTTACGCTAGAAGAGGCGTGGCCTGTTTGTATCAGTACCGCTACTCATTCTCTGATTGGAGGAGAGCTAGCGTCACGCCATGTTTCTACTCTGCACTTTTTACGGCCTGAATTCATACACAAGCTGAATCAATGAGCTCAAGTTTTCAATTAAATTACGGATTTTAATTTTTTTTAATTAAGTCTTTCCTTTAATCAAACAGTTCACTCCATGATGTGACATAACAATGGTCTGTTTATATTTCCTATGAACAAAGGTAATTCCTGCTTAAAATTTTGTTTTGTTTTTTGGATTTTGCATATGTACCTTTTTTATGTGCACTTATTTTGCACATTCATCTTTTGTGAGTAGTAAAGATACATCTGTTTAAAAGGCAGACAAGATTTTCCACAAGTATTTCCTTTTGAACAAGGCTGTAATGAGGTTATGACAAACAATAATGGCCTTTTATGGGAAAATATACAAAGCACAATCATGAGGCTTTGGCTTATAAAACCAACATGGTGTGAACAAGTCAGACCTCAACATGCTGTCTGGTTATCTTTTACATGCTGAGAGCTGATTGGCTGAGTGAGGGTGGTCCTCTCTTTTTCACTTTTCTGTCTGAAAAAGCTGATTTAAGGATGTGACAGAGGCCAAAAATACAAGAAAATGATAAAAACTATACAGAACCAAACTGTTTTGAGAACGAAGAACTACTTACATGGACTTTATTACATATAGTTCCATTTTGTTGTGGTACCTCACTTGAAAGTGAGGTACCTCACTTGAAAGTGAGGTACCCCATAATAAATACACAACGAAAGTATTTGTATACCTCACCTCATACAGTTAGGGGTGGGAACCTAAGGGTACCTCACAATACGACAGTACACAAGGACTTCAATTTGACTGATTATTTGAAAGTAAAAACATAGGAATCATAATCTTTACAGTGGAAGGTTCTGTACTTTCTTGGATGGTTTTGTTTGGTAATTTTCCACAAAACAACATACATTGCGTTTTTATTTCAACACACGGCTCCCAGCTTTACTTTGGGCACAAATATCTGCTTTTAGCTCTTAGCAGAAAACTGTATCCTCTGCATTGTCCTCTCAGCTCCCAGCACCTCCGTCTTATGGCACTATTTTTATCATGTTCTTCCCTGTGGCGGAGGCTGAGTCAGCAGAAACACCACAGTAACGTGAATAAAACATGTCCTCTGTACTCGGGGAGTGCAGGCTGAACGCAGAGCTCCGTTTCGGTCCCATTACTTTGACTTTACGGATCTGCGGATATTTTTAGAGCATTTTTAGAGAGTGGTGGTCCGTGTCCCTGGACTTGTCTCGTCATGTGAAAGAATGTACACGTGTGTTTAAACAGGGAAGAATATAAACGTATGGTCTGAGGAACATAACTAGAACTGAGGGACAGAACTTTTAAACCACAACAAAATGTAACGTTGTAATAAAATCCATGTAACGATCTCATAACAGTTTTATTCTATCACTAGTAGTCACGTGTCAACAAACAGTCAACAAACAATCATAAACAAAGAAAACAATTTCATATCTAAAATTGTATTGCTTTCAAGACCGCAAATGACGGGAATAGGATGTTATGTTTGCCAAACTCGTAGCACCACCTGCATATGAAAGCTAGATCCTGTCAGACCTCTGAAGCTAAGCAGGGCAGGACCTGGTTAGTACTGTGATGGAAGACCTCTGGGATAACCAGGTGCCACAGTGGTGCGGTTGCAGCTGTAAAATGCCAAACTGTTGTTGTGTCCTTAGGGAAGTCCTTTCACCCACATTGCCTCGCTTCTGTCAGTGTGCCCCAGGACAACTGCGGCTACAATAGTTTATCACCATCATGTATGGAGTGAAAGATTAATGCCATGTGGAGCGTCTTTGAGTGTCCAAAAAAAGCGGTGTAATAAACTTTTCATTATCAACCCTGTTACAAAAGAAAATATGAAAACAATGTTTTCCATTGGGACAAGAAAAGAAGGTCAAGGCAAAGTCTCCTTGCAGAAAGAAAAAAATTGCATCTGCGAAATAAGACTAAATTGCTTTTCTCATTTGCAAACATTGTTTTAAGAAATTCAAAATATTCTCATATGAAGATAAAAAGTGCAACTCATTTAAAGAAACATACAACACAAATTGAGGCATAGGAAATGAAAATGTATGTCACATTCAAGAGCCCTTGTTAGTTACAATATGCCTAAAAATCAGTCGAAACAGTTGTTTTCTTTTCACAATTTGAGAAATAATGATCGATTTGGTGAGAGCCAAATGCCAGTGCCTTACTATTTATTTGTTTGTGCGATGTGCGGACCAAAACTTCCCCGGCTTCCCCCGAAACAGGCGCTAGTTATGAGTCAGTGGACTGACTGATGAACGCCTTCAGCCGCCTGTGAAGAAAGAGTCAAAGGAATGTGCACGTGCTCCAGCTCCACGTGTCTCAGGATGTTTACATTTGTCTGTGTTTATCGTGAGTTATTTATGATCAGGCCGTGCTCGGTCTGAATGAATGTAAATAAATAATAAATTACACTGTGGTCTTTCTACTACTGCCACGAGATCAGCCATCATACATACGTACATCCATAAATACATCCATAAATAAATTCATACATACGTAGTACGTATGTAAGTTTTTCAATCCCCATGAAATTTGTAGGCCCTAATATTTTATCCTGTTTTGTAAAAAAAAAAAAAAAAAATACAGTGACAAGTCAGTGGAAGGTCCTACAGAAATAAATATTACTTACTTCCTAATTTATAGTCTTAAATTATTAATTTAAATATGACGACTTGCACAACAGTCTAAATGATTCATTATTAGAGGACTTGTTTCTCTCATTGTAAATATCGTTACTGCTTGTTGCACAGAGCCATGTGCTTATATCATCTGCAGTAGTTTGGAGTTATGTTTTATCAGAATCCCTCTCATGCTTTGGCCGTGAATACGTTCTACCCTGGCACGCCTGTGTGTGACTTTGTGTGTCTGCGTCTGTGCGCGTCTGGCTACACACTCAAATAAATGTGGTCTGAGTGATGGAGTCTTAATCTGCACAAGAGTAAAACAAGACTGAGGCTGTAAATGCAAAGTGCTCTCACCGCTGTCTCCTGTGGAAGAGCAACGGCCGATCAATGCACTGATTTATCAACACGAGACTCCAGAACAACTCTAATGTCTTCCGCACATGTTTTATGTAAGATTCAAGATCCTGCAAACAATAGTTTACGATTAATCAAGCAGAATTTGTTTTACCACCGGGAAGTATGTTGTAAAGCAGCTTCATGATAAAGAGAGTGTCAGAGAACAGTATATATATTGAAATCCAATCAGTATGTTACAGAATTAATGCTTTTATCTTTGTCCATAAAAAAATATATTGAGACTATTAACTTACTGTGAAATATCTCTCATAGAAAATAATATGGTGAAGCAAGTATGAAGGGTAAATAATGTTTTCCGCCTGTAACTCCCTATGCTACCACCAGAGGGAGGGTTACATGTTGTCTTGTTTTTCCATTTTTAAAATGGCTGGCTGCTCTTTTTGTAACAATTAATTGTTTGTGTTTCCAGAGCCGGTATCGACGATGTGGAGACGGAGGTGGTGGAGATCGAGGCCAAACTCGACAAGGTCTGTGCACTGAAACACTTATTGCCTTTAAATGGTTTTAATATAAGTTTTAGAGTCTATTGGTCACTAAAACACTAATACACTAATACACATAGTTGGAGCACACCAGAGAGGTTAGGGATGAAGTTTAAACAGTGTGAAATTATTGAAAGTTTCCCCGGCTCACAGAGCACTGCTCAATCCATTACTCCAAAATGGAACTACTGCAAATTTACTAATACACGACTGTCTATCTAAACTAACAAGCAGAACAAGAGAGCACTGACCCGGAATACCAATCCATTGTAGCTCTGGCTTTATGTTTAGGCTCATTGTCCTGCCTCAAGTGTTTTGTTTTGCCGACTCCAGCTGCTTTTCTTCCAAAATGTTAATGTCTTTAACTTCATCCATCTTGCCCTCAGCAAAGATTAGTCAAAGTAATCGACTTGGGTGACTATTGGTATTCGGTGGTAAACCAAGAGGAAAATGTTCAACTTTACTTAAAAATCCGTTATTGTAGAAGGGACATTGCAATCCATCATACGTTTTTTTATTAAGCGCTTTTCATACAAGAAATGTAACACAAAGTGATTTGGTTAAAAACAATCCCACATGCCCATGACCCCCTCCACCGGACCACCCAACAGATGCACCCCAAACCACATTTATTATTAAATACATGCACACACATACTCACAAACACACACGCAAACATGCACGCACACACACATCAAATGAGTAAAATAGATGCAACCAAAAAAAGATATGAAGCTAGGTGTCGGAGTAACCAGCTGAAGAAGAAGCTGTCCTCTCTGCTCTGGCTCCAAGGAATATAGGTCTAAATGTCTAAATGTCCAAAGTCCGACCCAGATGAGTTTGTTGCAGCTCATCATCTGTGTGTTGGAGTTCTGGGTCCTGGTTCTGTCCTGCGTGTGCATGCAGGCTGGTACTGTCCTGCATGTCTATGGACAGCTGTTATATTTCACAGTGTACAGTATACATGGCTTTTGACAGCTGTAGCAACGCTCAGACTTACTACAAACAGGTTTGATATCTCTGTGATCACACTTCAGCAGTTCTAGTTCTAGTGGTTAGAAAAGTGTATACTGTGTGTGTTGAGGGGTTATTGAGCCTTAGAACATAGAGCTGCTACTGTAAGTATCCCCCGCGATAAACAAGTTTCCACTGTTGTTCATTTCCCACATATTTCAATGAGACAAAACCACATTTTTCTCAATAGAAAAGGCTTTTTTACATTTTCTGTTCTATGTATGATTAAGCATATAAGCAGTGAAACAATGTCGGACTCAGATACCATCAGACAGAGATGGAGGAGACTGACCAGACCTGGACTAATGTGGTTATTGACCCATTCCCTCCGCTGCGTAATGCAATGACCACAGAGGAAGACGTCAGACTGCATCTCCTGCTCACTAGAACAGTTATTTACCTACACAACATTATAAAGGAGCATTTTGTACGGCTAAAGTCCATTGTTATTGCTGCTTCTGTCTCCACAACGACGCAGAGGCTCCTGGGAACTACTGATAATTAAAGGTTCACAGTTTCTGCCACAGCTGCATCCAACAACCACCAAACCCCCCTAACCGGCCCTAGCCCCTCCCCGTCCCCTCCCTCGTCCCCCACGCCCGACCCCCCCCAGTGAAATCTCCCACAGTGGGGTGTGCCTTTGGGTCTGGAACACCACACATAAGGCGTTTCCCGCTCCAGACCCGTGTTGAAATGCTGCGTCGACCAGGGACCACTGTGGGAATGGTTGTCGTGTTGTTTGGACTCATGACGGCTTTTCGCTGTAGGGAAAACAGGAATGTGTCAAATTAAATGGATCAAAAAAAGCTTCAGACTCTCAAAATAAGTCACAGCGCAGTGCACCCCCAGGACCAGAGGGAATCATATTATTATGTTCATCGTCCACGTAAACATTTTCCAAAAAAAAATTCACAAGGACAACTTTAAAAAGGAAAGAGCAGTTTTTACAAAACCACAAACTTATATGATAAAAGCTTCACTCTTCTTGGGATTTGAAAAAAACTTTTTTTTTTTTTTTTTTTAGAAAAACACAATATTGGTTCTTTATTTTGAAATAACGTTTTTTATTTTCTTTTTTCTCCCCAATATTTTCAGATTTTTCGATTCAAAATGCTTTCAATATTTTAAAAACAATTCTTCTTAAATAAAATATGAATAGTTCAATAGTGTGTATTTTTGTATGTGGTGGAGCGTTAAAGCTGTTTTATACTGAATCGTATCAAATCACGTAAGAAAAATATATATAGAAACGTATTGTATTGTATTTGTACGTATATTGTATCTTATTAGCAGGCTCTGAAATATACCCAGCCCTACTGTTGTTCCACAGCTTTTTCTGCTGTCATTGTGCAAAGTCTTGTCCCTCGTGTGACTTTTATGTAGTTTTAGAACCTTCTTCACCTTCACATGTGAGCAATGGGCTTTAAAACGGTTTGACTTTATTTTGTTTTAAATGACTCTATTATAGAAATAAAAATCATTATATCTGATGATTTACTGTGACACAACCTCCTGTTTTATGTAAATAATGTTAACAGATGATTCAAACCTGCAGGAATCACTCAAACACAGCTTCATGTGGAAAAATGAAACATGTAAACTACTGTTGTGTCTCAGTCGGGAGGATTACTCTGAACCAAGCACTGTTTGTTCATACGACTGTGTTATTAATATCTCTGTGTCTCTAAATATCCTCCTTGCACTGCAGCATTCAGCTCTTTTAGTCTATTCGTTCGTGTTATAAGTAAATCTCAAATGAAAGTTGAGCCTGATCTAAATAAAACATATTTCAGCAGTTTAACTTCAAGCAGTTACCTTTTAAGAGCGTTAAATCTTAATCTTTCATTTAATAAGAAATTAAAGATTGTATTTGTGTTCAGTAATAGCAATTTCTGGCTCTAGGTCTGAACTGCAGCCGAGTCAGGGCCAGTTTTCAGCAGCAGGTTCCAGTATTTTTGAGTGGAAAACTAAAGGCTCGGAACGACACAGAATTGGCACCGTTTGGAAGGAAAATGGATATAAGGGAGTGGAGCCATCGTTGTCCCCCGCTCAGAACACTCATTTGAGCAGGAAACGAGACAATGAACAATTTGGATCTGTGTCTGGAGTGTTGGAACATGCTATATATTGAGTTTGAAGTACTAATATTCACTGGTCTGTATGTGTGCTTTGTGTGTTTGTTGTGTGTCCAGCTGGTGAAGTTGTGCAGTGGGATGATCGACGCGGGTCGAGCCTACGTCACTGCAAACAAACTGTTTGTGAACGGAATCAAAGACCTGGGGACGCAGTGCAAGAAGGAGGAGATGATATCTGTGAGTACTACTGCTACTGCTACTGCTACTGCTATTACTACTACTACTACCACCACCACCACCACCACCACTACCACTCCTACACCATTGTGTGCTTCACAGAGCATCGCTCTATATGGTATGAAGACGAGTTATAACATACAACAGTATATCTTTAGAACACATTTTTTCAAAAACCCTGTCAGTGTTAAAACTCTCTCTCACTGTTTTCAGGATTTCCTGGAAAAATGTGGCGAAGGTCTCCAGGAAATTGTCAACTACCACATGGTGAGAACAAGTACACACACACTCATACACGGACGCTTGCACACACACTCACCTATGTCACACACATACCTATGACACACACACACATACCTCAGCACACACAGCTGGGTGCAGCCGGCCCCTCCCTCTGCTCCTTCTGTTCTCACTCGTACGTTTGGTTTGTGCCAGAGTCCAGTCTTGTATCAAACAACAGCAATGGCGCGGAGAGCCGAGCAGCACTTCTGTCCTGTGTGTTTGCATTTACTGAAAACTCCGGTCGCTCTCCTCTGTGGACACAGCTACTGCCTGAAGTGTGTTCAGCAGCACTGGAACAAAGAGGAGGAGCAGCGGCTCTACACCTGTTCCGAGTGTGGTGTGAGCTTCAGCCCCAGGCCAGTGCTATCCAAAAACATCCTGTCAGAAGTGCAACTGGAGCTGAGGAGCACAGCGCCACCTGCTGACCTCTGTGGGCCTCAGGACCTCTGTGCTGGGCCTCAGGACCTCTCTGCTGGGCCTCAGGACGTGTCTGAGAAGCTGAGAGCGGTCCAGTCCTGTCTGCAGTGTGTGGCCTCCTACTGTGAGCGCCACCTACAGCCTCATTATGAGTCTGCAGCCTTTAGCAAACACCTGCTGGTGGCGCCATCGCACACGCTCCAGGAAAACATGTGTTCTGAGCACAACGAGCTGAAGAAGATGTTTTGTCGCACTGACGGACAGCTCGTGTGTGTGCTCTGCTGTCTGGAGGAACACAAGGAGCACCAGACTGTGTCCTCAGCCTCAGAGAGGGCCCAGAGGCAGGCACAGCTGGGGCCCCAGAGAGACCTGCTCCTCCAGAACGTCCAGCACAAAGACACAGAGCTGAGCTCACTGCAGCAGCAGGAGAAGGACATCAGGAGCTCTGCCTACACAGCACTGCAGCTCAGCAGGGACAGCTTCAGAGACATGATCCTTCTCCTGGAGACAAGAGCCAAAGAAGTGGAGCAGCAGATCCAGTCTCTGGAGGATAGCGGACTGAGCCGAGTCCGAGAGATCCAAGACCAAGTCCAGAAGGAGCTGAGTGAGCTGAAGAAGAGCCTCTGTGACCTGGACACACTGTCCCTCACCAAAGACCATAACACCTTCATACAGCTGCACACTGCACTGGCCTCACACGCACAGGGGCCAGTCCCAGCCAGGGGCCACACAGAGGGGCCAGTCCCAGTCAGGGGCCACACAGAGGCCAGGAGCCCCTTTGAAGCAGTGACCAGAGCTGTGTCTGGGCTCAGGGAGAGACTGCAGCTCACTGTGGAGGAGGGACGCCGCAGCATCTCTCTGGCTTTGAGTCCAGTTCAGCTTTTAAGGACAGAACCCAAGACCAGAGACGAGTTCTTACAATATTCTACAGAGTTCACTCTAGACAAAAACACAGCTCACTCCTGGCTGTCTCTGTCTGATGGAAACAGAAGAGCAACATTCATGAGAGGAGACCAGAGGTATCCAGGTCTTCAGGACCGATTCAGTGACTGGTCTCAGGTCCTGAGCAGGGAGAGTGTGACGAGCCGCTGTTATTGGGAGGTGGAGTGGAGTGCGGAGGATGGTGTGTTCATTGCAGTTTCATACAGAGATATTCAGAGGAAAGGAGACTATGAAGAATGTGGATTTGGATTCAATCATAAATCCTGGGCCTTAAACTGTGACAAAATCAGTCCTTCCTTTTATTTTAACGATGTGGAGTCCCGGGTCTCAGGTCCGGTCGGGTCCAGAATTGGGGTTTACCTGGACCACAGCGCAGGGGTTCTGTCCTTTTACAACGTCTTTGAAAACATGAGGCTGATCCACAGAGAGGAGACCATGTTCACTGAGCCACTTCTCGCTGGGGTCTGGCTCCTGAATTTTGAAGACACGGCGTATTTTCCTAAACTCAAATAACAGCTTTGATTGTCAATGGTTGGATCAAATCCGAGCCTAAAATCATCTCTTAGCAAATAGTTATTGGGCATTATCTGTGTTAATTTGTCTCACAGATTCAGAAAAAGTCAATGTCGGCCTAAATACTGCCACAATAAATACTGATTAAATGTCTGATTTCTAATATAAAAGGATATAAGGAACCTGACTGCACTTCTGTTTTACTGTAGTCCAAGAAAAACAATGGATTATTTTTGTACTGTATGGTTTTCTGACGCTCAGTGAGTAATTTGTATACTGTAGTACTGTGATGTACAGTATACTACAGTATACTGTAGTACTGTGATGTACATTATACTACAGTATACTGTAGTACTGTGATGTACAGTATGTAGTACAGTATACTATACTGTACATCACAGTACTACAGCATTGGGTCAATGCAGTAAAGCAAAAAAACTAATGTAAAACTAGGCAATTGTGCGTGTGTGGATTATGGATCATGGTTCATGCTATTTCCACAAAGGCAAGTTCCTGCTCGTGGTGAACAGTTGTTATTGACAACCTCCAGAAGGTCTCCTAGTCCATCCATCCATCCATTTTCTTCCCCTTAATCCATTTCTGGGTCGGGGGGCGGCAGTCAGAGCTGCACTCAGTACACATAGCACCAGCCGCTCACTGATCCTCCTGCAGGTGGTGAGTCCACAGGAGCTGAGATCTTTTCAGTTGGGGCTTTGGGCAAAGTAGGGTTAAGTGTCTTGCCCAAGGACACAACGACAGCAGTCATCAGTGGGAGTCGTGAAGTAGGTCTTACGGTGGGCTCGAACCCACAACCTTCAGGCTCAAAGGCCAATGCTCTACCAACTGAGCTACTGTCGCCCTATTTATACAGAGTCATTCTGTATAAATATGCAAAGTTTAGTTTTTTACAGTACTGTATACTGTACACAGTACTGTGACATCTCAGTACTTATTTTATGTTTCACAAAACGTTTTTTTTTTTTTTTTCAAAAGGAGCAATAGCCAACTCACAGTACAGTACATGTGATACAGTACTGTACTGCAGATGCAGTCTGCAGTAGACAGTTTCCATCTGTAGTTCCTGATGATGGAGCTGAGGCTGGACTCTCTGCGTCCCTCAGTGTGAGGCCATGGTTTATCACATGATCCTCCAAAGTTGCTCTAATGTCATCAGAAATATCTTCAACCACAGCCTCCTCTTTCCTTGTTTTCTTCTTCCTCTTCCTCTTGCTCTGTCTCCAGACTTGCAAAGTTCTGAAAATGGCTAAACTGTTTATGTCTGGCTGATGTGTGTCACATTTTGTAAGTCAGTGTTTTCAAGTGTGTGTCTCAGTGTTTTCAGTCACACAATGTGTTTGGTATTTTGAACAGATGTGTTTTCCCAATGATAACTCAGGATTGCATTTATGAACAAAGTTTCTTATGTATGACAGTGTGGTGAGCAGGTGACAGTGTGCTGCATCAGATCCATGCAGCTAAGATCTGGAACAATCTCCCTGAAAATGTGAGGGAGGCGTCTACTCTGTCAATGTTCAAATCCAGGTTAAAGACTGTTCTGTTTGCCTGTGCATACAACTGAAGGATTTTATCTCCATTTTTAATGCACTGCTGTCATTTATTTATTTTTTTAAATTTCTTGTGTAATTTTGAAAGTTTTAATGGTTTTATTCTTTTGTGTGATTTTAATGTTTTAATTGTGTTTTAATCTTTTGTGTGATTTTAATGTTTTAATTGTGATTCTGGTGTTTGTTTTATGTGATGATTTGTGATGTGGACTGTGAAGCGCTTTGTGTTGCCATGTGTATGTAAGGCGCTCTACAAATAAACTTTGATTGATTGATTGATTGTTGTAGAAAGAGAAAGTGTGTTGTAGAAATGAAATTAAAGTGCAATGCAGTACGTTTGTTTAAGGAATGGTCAGTCTGTGTTTTAGGTTTAGTACAAAAGCTTCAGGTTCTGTAACTTTTGTCTAAGCATCTGTCTATAGTGTTATAGGAAAAAACTGTAACAACTACAGATCATAAATAACGAAGTTTATGAGACGTGAGTCATGTGACCAGTGTGTTGGCAGTTTGCACGTGCTCAGTGCTGACGCCGCTCTGTGACGTCAGCCTCAGGGTTCAAACTAGTACAAATATACCTACAAAAGAAAAAGTACTTTTCTAAAGATAACAATATGTAAATAAATCGAGCCACAACATGCAGTTTCATCTTATTAGACAACATGTTATATTTTGTAAGAAAGAGCCCTGTGAGTCACTATTTGAGGCTTTGGTGCTGAGAGCTGATTGGCTTAGTGAGGGTGGTCCTCTCTTTTTCACTGTTCTGTCTGAAAAAGCTGATCTAAAGATGTGACGGAGGCCAGAAATACATGCATATAAGTACTAGAGGTGGAACTGTTTTGAGAGCGAGGAACTAATGATGAAGAATGTATTATATATAGTTTTGTGGTTTGAAAGTTAGGCACCCCAGCTTTAATCTTTAAACTTTCTCAAACATCTCGATCCGTCTTAAACTATCGTACATTAATACAATAACTATCATCCAACCAAATACAGCTCAAACGTGTCACACATTAGATATTTAGTTTGGCTTCTGTAACATCTTCAGATCAGAGCAGTGAAAGAGAGAGAACCACCCTCCCTCAGCTAATGGTAAAACTCTATTTTAGCATTTTTTTGGCAGAGATTGGACTTTTTTTTTTTACATTAGCCATGACAAATATTTTATAGAGTTTTATTCACAATGTGGGAATGTGTTTTGCTGCTGCGAGTTTGAACAGAATAAATGTAACCTCCTGTTTATTAGTCACGCACCACTTACTTCAACACAATAAATATGATAAAGGTGATTTAAGAGCATTATTCCTGGACCTTCTGATGCATTTTCTGTTCGCTCCTGTTTAATCTTTCTCCATTCAGTCCCAGCTCAATATTTCTCTCATTCCAAAAGGTGTAATCCACAGGGATGAGCTCAGATTATAATATTGTCCAAACGATTCATCAAAAGTCAACGTCGTGTTTATTGTGCGGAGATTATTACAGATTGAGTCATTTCCAAACTCAAATGTAAAATGCAGTTTTGTGGGAATCACTGGGAAGACAATGGGGCATGATTGTGGATGAAGGAATTGGAAATGTTCAAGAATATAGATGGGTGACAGCGCCATCTTGTGGTGAAGAACCGCCACTGTTATAGGGAAAAATGCGTTATATTGTTGATTTTAATAATGTCTATATAAAATCTGAAAGGGAAAGTTGTATGTCTGCAAAATTGGTAATAATTTTGAATGTGTTATTTGAATTTAGGAATTCCACACACACAAACATTTATATACTGCATGTGAGAATTATATTGGCAAAAAAGATTGTATCAAGTAGTTTAGAACATATATGACTTTAATTTGCCTTATATTAATATTGTTTTTATTATTAGCAGTATTCTTATTGTTGTTGTTGTTATTATGGTTTGTTTTAGACACATGGTCCATACATATTAAAAAGATGGGTCATGGAGATATCCCATATAACTCTCCATTTATTTAATCTAAAGAAGATTAGATTAAAGAAACGGTGTATAGATCTGCTCACGGACAGAAAAAAGACATTTGAAAATATGATATGTTTTATGTGTTCTGGACTATGGCTCTAAGACTTTCATTGTAATAGCATCTTTTTATATTAGTATTAAGGTATATTTTCCAAGATCCAAAAACAGTTTTATTGTTGTTTTCTTGAGTTTCTCTGATATTCTTTGTTTCTCTGGTTTTGTTCAGATCCTGTTTGATCAGGCGCAGAGGTCCATCAAGCAGCAGCTGCACACCTTCATCAAAGAGTGAGTCTCACAAGAATGTATAGATTATAGATTATTCCCCATACCAACCTCATAGCAATGTCAAGCTCAGAAATAAAGTGATGGATATAATATTTAAGTAACATTTTCCACATAACTTTGGATTACAACCATTGGAATTTATTGAGAACGTTAATTAAGTCCAACATTGTTACAATTCAATTATTGTACTTTAGTTTTCTTGAAGTACAAACAGGCAATCAGGAGCAAAGTCTTTTACTTCTTGCGCTGTGAGCTGCCTGAAGCCAAACTAAGGGAAATTTCTGTTTATATTGGGATTTTCAAAGATAATATCAAAATAAAAAACACCTGAACATATGACAATCCGACTAAGGAGTGGTCTGCAATACCAAAGACGCTCCCATCAACATCTGGAGCAGTGCAGTGGAGAGGATTGAAGAAGGCCGCATTTGGCCCCGGGCCTGAGTTTGGACATGTCTGATCAAAGTGTCCGTTTCTTTTTATTGTTTGCTTTGTCATTTTGATTGATGTGTTTGTCCTGGGCCTGGGTGTGTATGTTTTGTGGTTTGTTGTTTAGCAAAAGGAAGTTAGAGAGGTTTACTTTCCAATGCATGTTAACGGAGCCAAAGAACATTCACATTCCCAAAGGTTTTTCTTCTTACTGCTGTTGTGTTTTTTGTGTGTTTCTTGCAGAGATGTCCGTAAGTTCAAAGACACTAAGAAGCAGTTCGACCGTGTGCGCGAGGACATGGAGCTGGCGCAGGTGAAGAACGCTCAGGCCCCGAAGAACAAGGTCCACGAGGCTGAGGAAGCCAGTGCTGCGCTGGTGCTGAGCCGCAAGGCCTTCAGGCACCTGGCCCTGGACTACGTGCTCCAGGTGAATCCAACAACAGATTTTTTTACCTTATTTATTTCTTCATATGTCCCATTAAACCAGTGAGGCTTCGATCGCAAACTACCATTGATTACAAATAAAACTCAGAATCCTTTAGAAATTGATAAAATAAAAAATAAAGGTTGATTAAAAAGTTGATTTACTTTGGTAGTTCAACTTACAATGTGAGACTAATATGACACTTGTTACAAGCAAAGATATGAAGCCTTTTTGTTATGATGTTGATAACAGCTGTAAAAAAAAAAAAAAAAAAAGGGAAATCCATAAACATCGACATTATAACAAACAGTCTATATCAAATATTGGTTTCACATTTTAAGTTGAATTACAGAAGTTTTACCTCTAAACAAATAATAAATAGGACTTCAAAATAATAAATAGGACCTCATGTCAAATTACAGGTTCATATCACTCCACCTGAGCTGTCACCATAGCAACACACAACATTAATCATAAACTGTTTTGTTACAGTTTAGTTTACTACTCTTTACTACTGTTTAGCACCGTTTTGTGTTTAGACTGAATTCAGCAAGAAGTTGAATTCAGTCGCTTAAAAATGCTAAATATGTTTTGTTTTGTACAATTCCGTTTTGGGAAATTTTCCCAAAACAACCCGGCTCACAACATACTGTCTTCATCGTATCAGAAAACATCTTTTGCACTTAACATACAAAAGAACGAGCCCTGTGAGTCACTATTTTACTCTGTTTGCTGAGAGTTGATTGTCTCAGTGAGGAGGAAATAGTAGGAAACAATAGGAAATAGTTTCATAGATCTTATGACTTATATATTTTTTTCAAATTAGTCTAAATTGCTTATTAAAAACTACAGTTATTGTCAAACATGTTATGCTCTATAGTCCCCAGACCGAAACATCGTGGATTCAAATGCATGACAGATGTTTAGCACACTGCAGTGCCCCACTCCCACCACTAGAGGGTGCTGCTTTACCTGATCCTGATATGGTCTTTATCCAGAGCTGAAGTGAACTCAAACTGTTGTTCTTTAAATACATGTACATTTGTGTCGACTTTTTCAGATAAACGTCCTTCAAGCCAAGAAGAAGTTTGAGATTCTGGACGCGGTGAGTGCTTTCTGTCCCTGTAAACTGTCTGTAATCACGTTTCTTATCGTTTTTTATAATGTTTATTTGATATATATATATATTTTTTCCTTTTTTTTTCTTTTTAAAATTCTTATTTAATGTAATTTTTTATAATTCATGTTTTTATTGTTATACCTTTTTCTTTACCTTTACCTTATTTTGATTTACTTTATTTTTATGTTTTAACTTTTTATGAATGTTCTTTTCTGCCCAGATGCTGTCGTTCATGCGTGCACAGTACTCGCTCTTCCAGCAGGGATACACCATCCTCGACGAGGTCCATCCCTACATGAACAAACTCGCCGGACAGGTCTGAGACTGCTTTTGTACTAAACAACTTAAAGCTGGGGTTCTGGGGATATCTGTGCTAGAAACTGAAATCAAAATCTGTTTGTTTTTTTATTTTTTATTTTTAGATTATTTAAAGTTAGATGGCTTTCGTCCCTATAATGTTTAAAATGAGGTTTTGAACATGCCAGAATTGTGCTGTATAGTCTAAATTCTGCTGTTTTGTGTTCAGTTGGATCAGCTGGTGATCGACTCGGCCATGGAGAAGAGGGAGATGGAGCACAAACACGCTCTCATACAAAAAAGGGTCAGTATCACTCAGGTGCCGAAGTATTGGTGTAAGAATATATTCAAAATAATATAAGTAAGAGAGAGACATGGTAAGACAAAGACGACTTGTAAATTACGTTTCTTTTTCCGGTAGCTAAAATACATATGTAAATCCCTTCTGTTTTCTTTAAATTGTGTAAGAAAACTGCCCCATCCATTTCTATAATAGTGAAATGTTGCCCTGTATAAATATGTATCATGTGTGTAAGTATTTACTTTCAGTCCAAAACAAAAAAGAGAAAAACAAGCCAGTTGTGAGGGAGGGTCTTTAACCCCGCTTGCAGTTTTTATTAAAAAAAAAAATATTTATATATATTTAAAGGCACACCGCGGACTTTGTGACCTAAAGAGTTGACACATATGAGTTATTTTATATGAATACTTGGGCCAATATACAGCGCTTGACACTTGCAATGCTCCGAGCGGGGCTGCCCTCTTGAAATACCGCCCATGTAAGTTTCGAGCAGACGGACCGTCTGCCACCAGGTCACGTGACTTGGAAGAAACACTTGCTTTACGGCTACAGGCGCTGATATACTCATGGAGCTAAGGCTTTTGCTACTCATTTTTCACCTGCTCGACTCCTGGTCATGGCTGAGGCAAGGAAAAATTTTAAACCTTCGGAGGAGGCTAAAAAGAGGAAACGCGAAAGGGATCGTGCTGTAAGCTGCATGTCTGTATGAGCGCTGCTGTTCACCTGGTTCCTGGATGTCATCGACTGCAAAGATGTCATTCCACGCAGCACGAGCTAGACGCAGAACTCCCTCATCCAGGATATAGAAGTCCATGTGTGGTAGATTACTAATGCAGCGGTCTGGAGGCTGACCACAGCAGAGTCTCTCAATATCTGTAGGCATGTCTCTACAGTTTGAACACACACACCAGTGCATGCTGTCTGAATACACACTCAAAAGACACCGGCTGACTGTTTGTTGACTTTTGCGACAGTGCTGAGTTGCTTGTGGCCACTAGGGGCGCTAAACGTGAAAGTTGCAGGTCTAGCGCCCCTAGTGGCCAAGAGTTACACGGTGTGCCTTTAAACTTTTTATTTTAAGCAAAGTTTAGGATTACAAGGGACACAAGAATCCCTATAAAAACAGACCTTTTTGAAAGCTGTAGGTTGAGCCATTTTAGTGAGCACTGAGGTCCATGGGGGAAATTTCCTTACAGCCCATGTGGATTTCATCTGCAGTACCGCGGGTGGCCTCTAGTCTACGTTGAGACAGGTTTTAGCAGCAAACCCTATCCAGATGATATAATACATCCATGAGAGTCACCGAGTCATTCAATCATCACTAGTTTCTGAGTGTAAAAAGTTAATGTTGTCTTCAAATGTTCAAGGATTAGAAGATTCTTTTTTAGTGAAATCAAAAATGTAAAGAATGTAGATAAAGACGGTAATGCTAGCTTCTTTACATTTTTTGTCCTATTAAAAGAACCTTCTAAGCCCTATCACTAGTTTCTCATTCACTCCCATTAAACTTTGTGTGGGGCAGGAAGTCCATATTTGGTATAACTGATACTGTCCTATTGTAACTACTGTCTATAGCAGATACAATGAATCTATATAAAGCTCTCTTAAGCCTAGAGTATACTTGCGCGCAAGGGCGTAGGTTTGCGTGGGGACCATGGGGACATGTCCCCACCAATATTTGGTGAGGACTAAAAAGTCCCCACCAAAATGACATGATGTCCCGTGACCCGGACGGTCCGGGACACATGTCTTCCGTTTGTGCACACGTCGCGCCTCCTCCCCGCCTCCAGAGCAACAGCAGCAGCAGCAGCACGTGACCCGTTCCGTTCTCTGCAGTGATTGGCTGTCTTCTTCAGCGCCAAACTGAAGCACTGAGCAACTGTTTAATTTTTAAAAGTTAGCCAGCGTGAAGCAAGTGTTTTTTTTCGTTCCCTGAGCGTTGTAGCACGTGAGTAATCAGAGGAAAGTACTGTAGATCTATTACCATTAAAAGTACTTACGTTATTTCTAATCTGTCAGCGCACTGTTTAATGTTCCGAGGAGCTCACACGGCACAGAGACAGAACAGAACTGGCTCCAATAAAGAAACAGGTTGGTTGAAAGGCTGAAAAAATACTTATTGTGCTCTTACTATCCAAAATGTATAAGTGGGTGTGTTGTGTGAATCAGGATAAACTAGGGATAAAAATATTCCACGGATCCACGATTTACAACCTTTATCTGCTGATAATGTAATTTCTGTGAAATGTGTGACAGCACGTCCTGGTGCAGCTGCTGCCGCTTTGTAATGACAGCCGCGGCGCTCAGTGAAAGCACAGCTCTAACATGGTACCGAGCTCGGACCATATGCAGACAGAACCATGTTGCAAGTGCGGGTCTCCCTCGTATCTCCCGCGTTTCTCCCCTGTGTCTCTGACATGTCTCTCCCCTGACTCTTCCCAAAGCGCAACCAGCGCTCCCGAAATTAAAGCTCGGATACCTAAATTTTCCATTGCGTTAACGATGCATGCTGGTTGTGCGCAAAACACACCACAACAGGTCATTTAAGTTTTTATTTTGCATACTTAAGAGCCCTGTGAGTCATTACTTGCCTTTTTGGGTTGAGAGTGGAATAAAAAAAAAGAAAATATAGAAAAATCCACACTGTTACTTATTGCCAAACTCTTGTTAACTCATTGTATTGAGAAATACTATGTAACTTTTGACATTGGCCAAGTTATATAAATGATTCTGCAGTTCATGTATATGAATGTCTGTTTTTGATTGTCTATACCTTCTTATATGTCTATACCTTCTTCTGTTAACATACATAGGAAACTCAACCAACAAGAGAGAACAATATAGGGAATGTTGAGGTAGAAGCAACAGGCCCTTCAGTGCATCAGGCGAGGTTGGAATTTTGTAGGTATGCATGGGACTATGAATTGTTTTTAGAGATTGATCGTATATGTCAAACAATGTAGTGAGCTACTCACTGTAGATTCTAATTCAATATTTTCTCCTCTGTTTTTATTTATTATAGGAAATTGAAAGATCAGAGCATGATTTATTTCAAGTATCGAGAGCAGTTCCTGAACTGTTAGAGCCTCAGGTGAGGGCTATTATGTAGATTTGGATTAGGTTTAAGTCAGTATAGAATGAACGCAACACAAAACTCAGAAGCTCTGATCCAATTGATTTTGTTTTAACTATTAGAAAAAATCCTTAACTGCTTCTCATTCAGTCTACAGCTGAGTTTAGTATAGAAGGCAACACACTATTGCAAATATAGTGTAAGTAAGTAAGTAAGTAAGTTTTTATTTATATACAGCCTTTTCACTGCAGATCTGAGTCTCAAAGCGGTTTACAATTGTTAATTTTGGGCATTTGTCTCTCACTCCACACAGAGATGGGAGCGGGGTCGCCAGTACAGGAAGAACATGCCAGAACTATTGTACATATTTTTAGTGGTAGGGGAAACCGGAGTACCCGGAGGAAACCTACGCAGACACAGGGAGAACATGCAAACTCCACTCAGAAAGGCCCTGGTCCGACCGGGATTCGAACCCAGGACCTTCTTGCTGAGAGGCGAGAGTGCTATCCACTCAGCCACCGTGTGTGATTACACAACAAATTCTGGGGGAGAAACTCTGGACCCCGTGTCAATGGGTGTAGACTCAGTTCGTAGTGAATGTCCCCACCAAGATTGGAACCAAACCTACACCATTGCTTGCGCGGCGTGGCTTACGTTAGCGGTTGCGGTGGACCTACGTAAGCACAATTGATGTTATACTGGCGCGTTCCCCTTACGGAGTTTTGAGGAGAATGTTGTAATCCCACAACAAACCACATGAGGGCTATCACACAGGAGCGGTCCCATTTACGCTGCTACTTTGTCCTCTTCAGAACAACAATAGCAAACAAAGCTGTTTGAGCTCATTACACGTGTTTCTACTGTAGGTTTATGTGAGAGTTTTATGGATTCATTATTTTATAAGTCATTTCAACTGTGATGCTGTGAATAAAGACACAGTTCTTGTTGGAAACATAGTTATTATTAAATAGTTTTCAGCACAAACAGCAAAACAATAATAGTGGTAAATATCTGAGACAAACATGAACGATTTACGAGTGCAGGAGGAAAGCAACAACCGCAGCTACGATTCAAACAAAGACAGGAACAGTGCAAAACAAACGACTGCACAGTTTATAAGTTATATATATGTTAGATATAAGTTAGATATATGTTATATATATATTAGATAGTCCACAGTCTCCTGTACTGTATATCAGGCTCTGAGCCCAAACTGCTTTTCCTTCGAAGCACAAAGCTCTCTGCTCCATAGTGCCTCGTCCATGTTCCTGCTGCAGCCGCTCCGTGCTACCTTCCAATACACACACACGGACCAATCACAGCGGAGATTCCTTGCGGCGACCCTTACGTAGTTAGAAAATTTCGATGCTGCAGGACAGGCAACGTTACACGTTTCACATTGAAGTAGTAGTTTTAGTTCATGGTGCATTGACATTCTCTGATTAATTTACATACACACCATTTATCTGCTGCTTTGGGTACTGGGCAAAACAAAGACCTTTTTTCCCCTCGATTCCAAACGACAGATGCAGAACAATTCTCCATCTGTGATCAGAAAGCTGCCAACTCTTTGTAAACACCCAAAACACTTTCCACTTTGCCAGAACTGTGTGTGTGGACTTTTCACGACAGCTCAGTGTGGCGATGAATGCATGGATTACAAACATGCCAGAGTATCATCAGATAGTTTAACATTGTGAAAGAAAAAGCAGGTCAAAAATCTCTCCTGGTAACTATGGTAACCGTTGAAAAGGCTAGTCCTAGTAATTCCTGCGAAAATCCACATGAAACAATAACAGTCACAAAGTTAAATTCTATTCATTTATATATATATCACATCAGCAGTCATCTCGGAGAACTTTCCAGCACAATTTATTATTTTCTCATAAAGGTGATACAGTAAACATAATTATTTAAGGGCGAATTTAGGCATAATGTATGTGTAGAAGTTTATATGCATATGCCTGATGTCGGCCAGGACTCAGGAGAAAGGACTTTCAGACATGAGAATAATATGGATTTGTGAATCTAATCACTGTCAAATAATGATTTGTAGAAAAACACATGAACACAACCTATTGTAAAGCAGTAAATCATTTTACAGTAATACAATAATGACATCGCAAGAGCTGTCATTATGTCAGAAACTGCTGTAACAGCGTGTGCCACAGGGGGGCGCTGTGGCTCTAAACTGCAAACAGGGGTGGGGTGTATTTATCAAATTTCAAATTAAATTACAAACAATATGGCCCTCAAGCTTCTAGCACTGGATATTCAGTCCAGACACAAAAGTTGTACTTTTCTGATTAACAAACCCACAGATTGTTAGAAAATCATTTTAAAAAGCAGCATAGTTGTGATGAGACAAAAATAGTTTTAACTCAAAACTATGAGACAAAAGTGAGAAATGTGTTGTTGAATTAATTATTTAATATATATTTAAATTTTTTAAATCCTATGTTGACCTGTACATGTAGACTGTGAATCCCATGATTGTAACTTTCATCACATGAAAAGTTAATTTGCAAAAACAGATATTTTGAAAAGATCTTTTGAAACGCCAAATCTGAAAGTTTCTTGACAAAATCCTTTTAAATGTTCTGCCGATAACAAACATTCCAGACGTAGATTGTAGCAAGAGGAAAACATAATTTGTTTTTGCAAATGACCTCTTCACATGTTTGTAGATAGAAACATGTATTTCTCTCTGTTCTCCCACTTTTCTTGGTTTGTGATTGGTTTATTTTTGTCTCTTTTCTCCATCTGAAAAACTGGACACAACTCTACAGACGCTGATGCAGGTGAGTTCATCCTTCACTGTTCAATAGAAATGCACTTGTAACCCGCAAACCTCTGCCTAGAGGCTCTGGTCCATTCCTTTAAAAGAATCTGGCAACCTCCTGGGAGGTGATAACCAGGACTTAGCCAGGACTGAACCAGGACAGAACCAGGACTAAACCAGGACTAAACCCGGACTGAACCAGGACAGAACCAGGACTAAACCAGGATTGAACCAAGGCTATTGCAGGACTGAACCAAGTCAGATCCCAGACTAGACCAGGTGCTGTAAAACTGGTTTGAACATGTCTTTATCACATCTCAGACATTTACATTTTGTCGCATGCCTTTGTCATTCCTTATCTGCCGTTTTGGGCAGAGCTACAATTACAAACATGTTTGCGACTGTTCATCATATTGGCACACACATCTTTAACCAAATATAGGTCCAGTCCACCTTGGGCTTCTGTTCTGTACATACTGTACTTACAGTGATAGTATTGCGTGCCTCAGATGTGCCTCACGTAGATGGTGCCGTGTTTTGATTTCTATACATTAAACTTTTGGCGTTGATTCAACATTTAAAACTTGTGATCATAGTTTTAAGACTTTGACCACGTTTCCTCCAAAAGACCTTTGTGTGAGTTACGTGCTTTAAATGAGAACATCATCAGAAAACATGACGCAAACAACTTCCAATGATTTCACATGTTCAAAAGAGGGTGAGCTTTGATTGTAGCTGGATAGTAACACATTCTTTTGAAATAAATGTACCTTACATGTTGGTTAAGAAATGTATAAACAAAACAGAAAAAATAAATATGCTGATATACATAGTTCCCACATGACGTCACTACATACGGGGATTTGCCGACCCGGCACCATTTGTGTTGGCATTCTGTGGGCAAAAAGAAGCTGAAACGTGTTAATGTTGTGATAAAGTTGAAAATGGTCATCTCCTGCTGGGTCAATGGATGTTCAAATCGTGCCGGAAGTTCCGTTAAACTTGGATTTTACAGTATACCCATCATTAGACTTCATGAATGTGAGAAGACTAAGCTTTTGTCAGAACAACGACGGAGGTTATGGCTTGCGAAGATAAACAGGCAAGAAACTCCCTCAAAACACGCAAGAATATGCTCGGAGCACTTTGTGTCAGGTGCGTATCGTATCTCATAATGTGTTGACAGACGTAATTTACTCAGTACTAACTTGTGTATGCTGATATCTGGTAACTTGAGAGTTTCATTATTTAGCGTTAGATTACTTTATTATGAGGAGGATCGGTGTCGCGTCCGAGGCTCTCGAGGGCAACGTAAATGTATTAAATAGATAATAATAGTTCTATGGTGGGCTAAAACAATGTTCACAAACAGCATTGCTTCTGTAAAAAGATCTGTGTCATAAAATAAACTGCTCTTTACGCCTGGAAAAATCAGTTGCCCACCATTCACCAAAACATACGGTCAAAAACGCGGAAATAAACAATAACAGCAATCCAGAGTGTCCGTGTGGCATTAGCATTAATTAAATTAATTGTTAATATAATTAAAATAATTAAATGGAGCTCCAACTGGTATTAAATCTAAAGTTTTTGAGAAATGTTTGCATTGCTTGTTAATTTTTGCTGCATAATTTGATCAAATATGTAAAACATGTCCGTAGCACGTTAAACTGTGGTGCCATTGTATTAATATACAATTATTTGCTCAAAAGTTGCCCTTTTTTTCCAATTTGCGTTTGAATATCTACATTTATTCTCATTCTTCTGTTTAATGGAATGCACAAACATAGCAGCGTGCCATCAAAGATGGCGTCTCCGAGGAGGTCATGTGACATTCATTGGTCTGTGGGAACTATGTATAGTAAAGGTCATTACTATATCAGCATATTACTACCTTAACTCAGTATTGGGCTGAGTTAAGGCACAATACTAACATTAATTCACTTCTAATGCATTTTCTCCATACTCTGTTTCCATTTTGGAGTGGATAGCATTCCTGCTTCTCAGCAAGAAGGTCCAGAATTCAAATCTAGTTGGAACAGGACACAGGGAGAACATGCAAAAGCTCCCTGTGCCTGCTCTGGTTTCTTCCGGGTGCTCCGGTCTCCCTTGCGACTAAAAACATGCACTATAGGTAAATCCTCCTGCCTCCTACTATGGCGACCTCTGCTCCTGACAGAGGCACAGTATGATGGGTCCAATGCAGAGGACAAAGGGGATAAATATAGTGCACATTTACATTGAAATCACAACAGCAGTTGTCTCCAACAATGGAAGAATCAAAGAATTGATGAGGTGGACAAAGGGAGGAGGTAGGTTGCTGCACTGACAGCAGTTTGATACAGGGACTGAGAGGCTCTGTTTAAATGTAGTCGTGAAGTGATACCGATGAGGTGTGTGACTGATAGTGTCTGACTTTGCTTTAGCTGCATTAGAGGCCAACAGGGAGATTCAGATTCATTCAGATTAATTTTATTTCCCATTTACCGTAAAACCACATTGGAATACAATTGCAAAAGTTAATACAAGTACATAAATACACAAGGTTAAAAGTACAGGAATAAAACAAACAAAAAAGTGCAAAAAACAAACTGCACTGTGAAATTGATCGACTCAAACACGTTCAAAACAAGTGCAAGATCATTAAAGTCATATGTAATGGCATGTTATTCCTCATGTTAAAGATAGTGGGTATGACTTTTACTCTAGGTCAAATCTAGTTTCAAAACATTTATGTATTATGCAAAAAGAAAAGCTGATGTTTGTAAAGAAAAAGTCATCTGAAAAGGAAAAAGGAAGGAAGGAAGACGGAATAAGCTCCTGGTTGACCTCCCCACGTTGACTCGCTCTTGACCTTTTGAGCAGAAACACAAAGACGAGATGATTTCTGCTCCAGACATCTGCTCCTGATTTATCTTCCACCAGGTCCTCCTCAGTTCTCTCGCTCCCAAAGAAAAGGCCTCGTAAAATCAATGCTAATTCAGGACACAATGTAGAGAGGAGCTGCTGTGTGGACATAAACTTGGCTCCAAAAAATCCTTCATGTCCAATTTGGATAATGTGACCCATTTTCAGGCAAAAATATGTGTATAGTGATTTTTTTAAAAAGATGTGAAAATATGTTATGATATAATAAACCCATAAAAGGACCATAATATTTTGATGTTAATTGATATCTACACTTTTTTAACCAGGTGCAAGTTATTTGTCTGTTAAATCAATATATGTAAAAAATTTTGTTGTGCAGGTTCAAAATAAAAACAAATCGTCCATTATTACTTTCCCCGTGGGGAAAGTAAAACGTGTGAAAAATAAACAGGACGAGCCCCGAATGAGTACAAACAACTATGAATGCTGTCTGAGTCGTAATTTCTCATCAAAAGCCTCATTCACACTGTCCAAACTTATTGCTGTCCAAACTCCAGCTATATTTGTTCAAACTGTTTTAAAGTTAAAGATAATATCCTGTGGGTGAGGAGGAGAAGCAAAAAAATGACACACAAGTCACACAAGGAACAATACTTTGCAGAATGACAGCGTAACGAGCCGTGGAGTGGTGTTTGGGTGCGTGAAGCTCTTGTTTGAACATTTTTATATTACTCCCCGTAGTAATGAGTCGACACAGGTCCAAAGAACACGCCAACCTTTCCCACGGGTCTCCAACCTACAGCTCGAGAGATACCAGTAGCTCGCCCCCACCTTGCAAGTAGCTCCTCAAAGGATTTATAAATTACATTACATTACAATTGCGGGATATTCCAAAAAGTCTGGTTCGTTTGCCTAAAACTATCGTAAAGCTCACACATAGTAATGAATGATAAATAATTAGTTATAGGTGTGTTTTTTATGATGATAGAAACTGTGTTGCTCCTGGATCTGCCTGAAATAAAAAAATACAAAATAAATAAATTACTCTTTATAGTTATTTTTTGTGACCAATTGGCCACACAAATTGCATAGTTTACCTTTAAAGGAGTAGTTATCTGCCTTTTTAGACCCAGGAAAGTAGCTCTCCATGTGAAAAAGGTTGGAGACCCCTGATTTAGATCTGTGGGAAGATCTTGTGATTCATAATCTTAGGTTGTCTGTCTTAACGAGGGAAGGCCAAAGATTGAATTTATAATGATACAGCAGCTCCACATCTGCACATGATGGAGTGAAAGTGATAATAATAATAATGCATCGGTTTTTTTGGACACTCAAAGACGCTTCACATGTGTCATTATTCATTCACTCCATACACGGTGGTGATAAACTACTACTGTAGCCACAGCTGCCCTGGGGCACACTGACAGAAGCGAGGCAACCAGTATGCGCCATCGGCCCCTCCGACCACCACCAACCATTCACACACACACCAGACTCATTCTAGGCAATGGGGGTGAAGTGTCTTGCCTAAGGACACAATGGCAGTTTGGCACTTTACAGCCGCAGCCGCCCCACTGTGGCTGGTGTTCCCAGAGGTTAAGTGTCTTGCCAAGGACACAACGACAGTAGACATTGGGAGTTGATGGTGAAAGTCTTGAGCGGGGCTTGAACCCACGACCTTCTGGCTCAAAGGCCAACGCTCTACCAACTGAGCTACTGCCGCCCAAATCCGGGTTAAATGGCCGTCCTAATGCGGAATCCTATAGACATTAGTGAACATATGTCTGACTCTCTCATGGTGAACAGTTGTGTGGTGGATTCTCTGGTTGATTTAAGGCGGCGCAGGCTGAGGGGGGTCTGCAGAGGGGGGATCCGAGCGTCATAAAGTCAGCATGATTACACACGCACACTGCCCACAGATGGACCTTAAAACTGGGATCAAACTCAGGCACAAGCAGCCCTATTGAGCGGGGTCACCGTATACCGCCTTAAATCTGTGTCCATTGTGTATACCGCCTTAATCGCTCCAAAGGGAGAGAGAATCTTTGGAAACTGGTTTTAAGTCCTGATTTTTTTAGACTTGGGTTGTTTCATTACTGGTCAGGTTGACCAGAAATTCTTTAACACTAGGACTCCCAGAATTTTGAAAGT